GAGCCCCGGACCCCGCCTGGTCCGCGCCCCTCTGAGACTCGGGAGATCGAGGCTGAGGCTGCCGGCGGCTCGATTTTTACAGGAAGAGAAAGTGGTTCCTTGTCCCTAAGTCTGCCGTCCCAGCTCCGGGCTAACAATGTCCTTGCTAGTTTTTATGCGCTTTTCATCCCAAATAAATACACGAAGGAGCCTGCGTTCTAGGACGTAATCGAAGTAGGGCTGTGCAGGAAACTCTCTGGAAATGTTTTCTACATCCTCGAACCGCCAAGCCAGGGGTTTGAAATAGCCACGCGATTGCTTTTACCTAGGACCGCACCGCGCTTAAGGCGCGGACTTTGAGATAGGACCTCTCCTTTACATCATTCGGCAAGGGCGCGGGGAAGGGGGAGCGGGGGAGATGGGGAGAGATTTTTACAAATTATCTGCTTTACCATTTTTTGTAAAAACATACGGTTAGATTTTGAGTGTTTCACGTTGCAGTTTAAAGCAATCACTCCTCAGGTGAGAAATCCTCTTACGAATGATTCAACCCCTAACCCCAGCCTTCCCCACCGGATGCTCAGGGTCTTTGTCCATTTCTCAAGGGCCCTGCTTTCCCCGTTATATATGTGTTCATTCTCCCCGTTATATGTGTGTTCATTCTCTGGCCTGTGCTATCCTGCCCCGCCCTTTACCGCCCTGCGATGGGTGTGAAGCCCTGGGCTGAATACAGCTTTCTGACTCCCCCCTCTCTAAAAGACAGTGTTGTTTATCTTGGGGTTCTGGCACACGGCAGAGGGAGGAATTCTGATTTTGCCTGGTTTGGGGCAAATTGTTATCAATCAGCTAATGTCGCTCTAGGTTGGAAAAATAGTCCTTCAGACGTGGTCCCCGGCTCTCTTAAAGGCCTGCGCAGTGGAAGGAAGGCAGCTCCTATTAGACACCACGCTGGTCCACCGGCGCCCATTAAACTGGGTGCTGTTGTTGCCTAGTGCACAGGTAAACATTTCCTTAAGAATTGTCAGAGGTCCTTGTTTGGGGCCACTTTAGCCTTCCTTTCACCTCTTTTCCCAAAGGCAAAGGACCATCTTCTATGTTCATTGTCAAAGACCAAGCCCAGGAACCAGCTTTACAGTCAATGTGAGTAAAACTTCCAGAAATGAGAAGTGCTGTCACTGTTCTGATGATCAGACTTTAGGGTTCATAAGACTCGGCCGGCCAGCACCCTGCCTGCGCCTGCTAGTGGGATTCAGGAGTCTGCGTTGCTGAGACACTCAGGTGAGTGTGATTCTGGTGGTCGATGAGCCGCCCCTTTATAGCCTCTTATTCTTGCAAAATCAAACTTGCCCGTAGGATGCTGGTGTGAGTAATTGGGCCAAATTAGGGGCTTGGGGCTTCAAAATAAGTTACAGGCCTAACTGGTTTGGCTCAGTGGATAGAGCGTCGGCCTGCGGACTGAAAGGTCCCAGGTTCGATTCCGGTCAAGGGCATGTA